TTTTACGGCTTTGGGATAAAAGAAAGCCATTGCTCATACGCTTTAGCCCTTATCTACATCTTTCCTCTTTTTATTGGCTTTCCAGGCTCTTCTGGCCGTCGGCGCGATCAGCATGCTGACCGGGTAAGTCCAATTTGCATTCTGTCCAGTTTTTGCTGTCCGATCAGCTTCGATTTGACTGCGCTTATTGGGCATTGGCCACCAATAAGAACATGAGAACATGTTTGCCTCGGCAACCTTTAACCGCGGCTTTTTCTGCGATTGAACGGACTTACCGTCAAGAATGTGAAAAGTTAGATCTTTGCGAGTGACGAGAACCATCACCACCACTACCCTCCCGAGAATATATTAATGACACGCGCGTGAATTATGACAATGAAGCCGTGCATAGCACCAGTTGCCCAGTTGCAGTCCCAAATAGGAGTAGCTTAGAGCTGTCTATTTGTATTAGTGTACTCTAATTCATCGGAATTTTCACGATAAGGTAGTTTAACACTGTAGTAGGTTCATTTTTGCCTCAAATTCGCCTATTCCATAATCATGCTAAGTGGGCAAGCGGGCTGACTTACTGCAGTTTTTCGTTATCGCTCTGCTCCGAGTGTTCAGACCTCATTGTGAGTTTTACAAACATTGGTTCCCTTCCGTTCAGTTTTATTAAGGGAACGATAGGCAAACGCCTTTGGGCTCCCTATTGGTGACACAATGACCGAGAAATGCATCTGTACAGCGGAAGCATTCAAAAATGGGGTTGTCTACATGATTGCAGGCGAAAAGTGGGCGGTTTATTACAAGTAGTATAATTACATCTGTAATTATTTCCTCAGGGGTAGTACCTCGGTCATTGGCGATGTCAACGGACACGAACCAGTGGGTGCAACTAAAGCAAAAAGCGTAGACAGTGAGAAAAAATCTTGTTGCGCATTTTTCGGAGATCACAGAGGTTTGAATACGATTTGAGGGTTTTTACGGAGGAAAAAACTCGCTCCTGGGAGTAAAATATCCGGCAAGCATGTTCAATGGAGTACGGCTTGCTAAGT